AACAAGTACATTGATCTTTGCTATCTCCCTTCTTATCCTAGCACTTATATTTGCACTCTAATCATAACAATGATCCCATTGCCATTCTAACTGGGCTCTTCCCTGTCAAGTACTCCTGTAAGCTTTATTATACTGACTTTGAAGTATCTGGCAAGAACCCCTCAACATCTCTTTTTTGCCTTACTTCTGATATCCACCCTACCTGCAACATTCGGAACTTTGCTTACTTCCTGATTAAGAAATCATCCCTTTCGCAAAAAGCTATCTTTACTTTCTTACAGCCACCTATTTGACTTTCAGGCAGTAATTTCTTATACTGGTAATGCTCATAGCTAAGCTTTTCATTACATTATTCTTTTCTTTTTTTTGAGGCAGAGTCTCACTTTGTTGCCCTTGGTAGAGTGCCATGGTGTCACAGCCCACAGCAACCTCAAAATCCTGGGCCCAAGCAACCAGGCACCCGCCACACTTGGTCATTTTTTTGGAGCAGATGTCAATGCTGTCTAGCTGGCCTGGGGCCAGGTTCGAACCCGCCAGCCAGGGTGTACGTGGCCGGCGCCCTACCCACTGAGTTACAGGCACCACCCTATTCTTTCCTTCTTTTTCAAGTTAAGGTGAAATAAAACTAACTCTGCTCTGAAATTTAAGAATTTTTAAACGTATCTTGAAAGTATCTTAAGACCCTGAAAACCATGACTATAAATCACTTCTTGGAGTAGAATTTCATCAATTTCTGATCTCTAAATAATGAAGTGGCAATGTGGTACAATAAAAAAGCCAAAGACTTTGGAGTCAAAACTGGTTTCATGTCTTAGTGCTACCACTTACTAACAGTATGACCTTGAGACAATTAACTTCTTTGAGCCTCAGTTTTCTTATGTGTCAAATGGTGAAGAGTAGCATCTAACTTCGTCAGATCACCATCAGAAAAGGCAAAGTAAGAGCACGGTGCCTGGTACATAGCATACAGTCACTATATGTTAGTTCACATAACTATTTTCATAAAATTCTACTAACTATTCTGTTGCACAAAATGAAATATTCACTTGCATAAAATGAAATCGATACCTTCATGCATATCTTACTTTTATTACAGAATGAATAAAATAGAAAATACTACTAATATTAAGAAGATAGAAGACAGAAATGCAATTTTTCACCTTATAAAAGACCTTATATTTGAAAAGACTGAAAAGCACTATGTTACAGCAAACAAATTAAAACAACAAATTTGTACTGGCTAAAAATGAATTTTTACTTAAGCATCTAAAATAATCTTCTATAAATCTCACAGTCTAAAAATCCTTATCAGACTTCTAAAATATAAACAAGAACTTATTGTTAGAAATAAATCTGTTGACACTTAAAAATGAGTCAACAATTCTAAACTGGATGATATTCCAATTGTTTCTAAATAGCAGATAGTTGCAAGTTTTCTAGAATGGAAGGAAAGCCTGAAATGACTTATCCCAAGTAAGTTAAAAGGAACATGCAAATGAGCTATTACTTTATGGCACTTTTTACATTTTTTTTTTTTTTTCAGATAGTCTTGCTATGTTGCCCTTGGTAGAGTGCTGTGGTGTCAGTGCTCACAGCAACCTCCAACTCTTGTGCTTAAGCGATTCTCTTGCCTCAGCCTCCCGAGTAGCTGGGACTACAGGTGCCCGCCACAATGCTTGGCTATTTTTTTGTTTTAGTAGGCCTGGGCTGGGTTCAAACCCACCAGCCCTGGCACATGTGGCCAGTGCCCTACCCACTGAGCTACAGGCACTGCTAGCACTTTTTTAATTTTTATTTTAAAATTCTTTACATACAACATGGTGACTATCATTAACAATATATTGTATTCTTAAAAGCTGCTAAGAAGCCAGGCATGGTAGATCGCATAGGAGGCCAAGGTGGGTAGATTGACTGAACTCATGAGCTCATGAGTTCATGAGTCCCAGACTAGTCTGGGCAAGAGCAAGAACCTGTTTCTAAAAATAGCCGGATGTTGTGGGAGGCACCTGTAGTCCCAGCTACTTGTGAGGCTGAGGCAAGAGAATCACTTAAGCCCAGGAGTTTGAGGTTGCTGTAAGCTGTGACACTACGGCACTCTACCAAGGGTGACATAATGAGACTATCTCAAAAATTAAAAAAAAAAGCTGCAAAGAATGTATATTTTAATATATGTAATTTTTAGAATACTGTTCCTACCACAAAAAAAAAGTATGTACAGTACTTAATGTATTATGTTAACTAGCTTGTTTAGACATTCCATAGTGTATACATATTTCAAAACCTCTTGTACATGAGGGACATGTCAATTAAAATAAAATTTATCCTAAAAAAGTTCAGAAAATTGACAGGAATGGAAAGAGAATCTGAAAGTCTTCGGATAGCAGAAATTTTACAATACAATTTTTAAAATGTAAAATTAAATTGGTGTTTTGAATCAATACACAAATTAATTAAAAACCATATAGAAGCCTTTTAAATACTACAGTGTAATAAAATCCTTAGTGAATTACATTTTTACATCATTACAGGCAGTCCTTAGGGGCAAGTGTGATGTGTAGAGAGAGTATCATTCTGTTATTGGTTTTCACCTTTGGTTTAGTTCTCTTCTGTTAAATTCTAATACCTACTATATGAAACTACTTTTTTCAGTTGTGGCAGTAGTTGTTATATTGGAAGTATTCCAAAAGGAAGTGAAAATTATCCTCTGGAAGATCATATTTATTCATTTAAAGGAATATGCAACAATATTTTACCTTATACCCAGCAACAGTTCTTCACTGTTCACTTATATACATATGACATATATGTATGTGTGTGTGTATATATATATATATATATAGTGAGATTCTATCAAAAGCCCGAAATATAATGATAAATGCACAGAGATTGATGAGTTTCAGTCTCTCTCCCTTCCCTCTTTCTTCACAATACTCTGACCCTCTCCTTCTATTAGTAATTTCTAATGCTAGATATTAAAAAACAAAAACAAAGCAGAACCGAACACAGAAAAAAGAGCTTTGTTGAAGCTGCAGGGAAAGTTCCACTTTTCCTTGTGGACTGAAAGCAGCAACCATGTATTCCAAGATAAAAATAATTTTTACTCTGATACATCATCAGCTGTAAGAAGATAAGGAAAGCTCTATACAAAACCATCTAATGGCATCCCATCTCATTAAGAATAAAAGACAAATGTTTTATGATTGATTAAAAAAAATCCATGAATATACAAACTGATACAAATAAATGATCAGATAAATAAATAAATAGGGGAGAAAAGACATATCTCCCATACAGAAGTTGTTCAAGTAATTTTACAGATTACCCATAATCCGTATTACCCTCAAGGAAGTCCAACATTAATTCCCTCCTCCTTCTCCTTCAAAGTGGGCTGTATAAGGTAACTTCCTTCAAAAAGTACAATGTGGAAAGGGGAGAAAAAAAGAGTAAGTTTACACTGAAGAAATCTGACAAATATTACATCATCAGATTAGATCAAAGTTAACACAAGCAGAGATAAATCATGTTTGCAGAATGATCCATCACACCTTCATACAGTGTGATAAAAATGGTACTTCACCTTTCTGGTCTTCCTCCTCAAAATCCACAACCTCAGTCTAATCATAAGAAAAACATCTGAGAAATTCCATTAGAGGGGTATTCCACAAAATGCCTAACCAATATCCCTCTAATCTCTCAAAGACATCAAAACCAAGGCAAGTCTGAGAAAGCATCAGAGACAAGAGGAGCCAAAAGAGACTTGTGAACTAAACGTAATACGGTGCCCTGCTGGGGATCCTGGGACGGCAATAGAACACTAGGGAAAAAGCAAGGGAATCTGAATGGAATAAGAACTTTGGTTAATAATAACATATCACTATTGGATTGCTAACTATAATTAATGTGGCATACTAACACAATAGGAGAAACTGAGTGCACGGTATATGAGAACTCAGCATATAAATTAAGACTACTTAAAAAATAAAGCCTATTTAAAAGGAAAAAGTGTTATACATGACGATTAGATCTCAAGACAGCTAACAGTACTTATTTCATCTGTAATGGCATTTAAGTATTATAATGTTCTGAGAGCACAGACAGTAAAAATGGAGTTCCATAAAATAATACTCTATTTCCCTTACACTGTGAGTTAAACAGACTTCTGTGGGCTAAAAGAATATCCAACATTTACAATAGTGTTTTGAAACACTACTTTCAGGGGACTATGCTTTCAAATTTCTCACTATCAATGAAATTAAAATCAGTTTACAACTGAAAACAAAGTTAGTGTGTGGGTCTTGGGACTGTCTCAGGCCTGTCTGCATTTACCAATCCTTACTTTGGCCTTTGCCTACTCTGCTCTGTGGAAAAAGAGCTGAGTCCTGCAGGTTCCTAGTCAGCTGACTCCCAGTTGAGCCTGACCAGTGGCATACAATAGTGGAAGACCCGGGCCGGAGCCAAGATGGTGGACTACAGCCAGCTTCCCACAGAGGCTCCCATCCAGAAGGAGACTTAAAGGACATAAGTCTGGCAAGTAAGCTGATGGCTTGGAGCTGAGCCAAGAGAGAAGATTGAAGAACCCACAACAACTTTGCTGAGGCGAGCTGTGACCCCAGAAATACAATCAAAAGGTACAAAACCCACCACCAGTGGTGGCGGTGGCAGTGGAGTCCTCGGCTCATAGAGCCGCATGCGCTGCAGTTGGTGCCAGAGGAACCCACAGCTCCTGGCAGGCCGTAACTGCTTGCTAGAGCCACACATGCCCTGCGGGGGCAGTGCAGGAGTCCCCCACTCTGGGCAGGCTCAGAACTGCTTGCTAGAGCCAGGTACACCCCTTGGAGAAGTGGCAGAGGAGTCCCCAACTAGGGGCAGGTCCAGAACTGCTTGCTAGAGCTGCACGTGTCCCATGGGCAGTGGCAGAGGAGTCCTCCTCTCTGGGTGGGCCCAGAACTGCTTGCTATAGCCACAGGTGCCCCGTGGGGGCTGGTGGAGGAGTCCCCCACTTCAGGCGGTCCAGAACTGCTTTATAGAGCCCCGCGTGTCCTGCAGGGGCCAGCAGAGGAGGCCGCCGCTGCGGGTGGGCCCAGAACTGCTTGCTAGAGCCATGCGGTCCTGCAGGCAGCCGTGAAAGTGTTCCCTGCTCTGGGCGAGCCCAGATCTGCTTGCTAGAGCCATGCGTGTCCCGCAGGCAGCTGCAGAGGAGCCCCTTCATTTCAGGTAGGCCTAGAACTGCTTGCTATAGCCATGCGCGCCCTGCAGG